TGTGCATGAATCAATACAACTTGCATTACATTACATTCATCATGACATTTTAAAAGGTGCAATGGAGGACACAAAATTACCCCAGGATGTGAGTATTTATAGGCTTCAGAATTCATGACACAGGGTCTTATGAGGACTTACCTACAGTACATCCTGGGCGAACAGGCCAATTAATTTTTTTTAATCCGCTTAAATGAATAACGTGGTGTATACGGTAAGCTAATTTGAGCTGATGATGTAACAGCTGTATTTTTGTGTTGAAAATTATACTTTCAGTTTCTAACAGATCTCCCTCAACTGAATAGCTACCAACACAATTTTAATGTCTATTTAATCACAACAATAAGTTATACAATCTGGTCCCAGGGTATCTTTTTCAAAGCTTACTTCTGGTTTTATCGATGAAAAGCAAAAAAAAAAAAAAACTTTGTTTGATGGAATATTGTATTAAGAGCCTCATATCTCCCAAACAAAACACATTTAAAGGAAATGCTGGCACTGGGTTGTATTTCACACCCTTGTCATCAACCATGTCAATTTTCATGATGATATCTGACTTTGATGCAGAGTTCAGGGGAAGCCAATCACTATCTTACACCAATTTACAAAGTAGTTAAACTGATGATAAAAGTAGTAGCATATAGGGTGGTAAATTTAAAACAGTAAAAAAAAGGAATTTTTGCTTTTAGACTATATATGTATGTAATTTTATTGCACTAATATCTAGATAAGTATTTTATATATAAAAGAAGTGGGATTTTGATCGATTAAAGCATCAGTCTCCCTTTAATTGAGGTTTCTGTTCTAAATGAGTGGGAGGCCTACAAAAATTTCATTTGCCTTGACACAAAACATAAATTAGAGGCTTTATCAATTGGTTCTACAAGCAGCACACCACTCTTGAAGCACTGAAGCATGTTTTTGAAAAAAGGTGTGCCCAGGCCTTAGATGCGGGTGTTATATCTTTGTAGAGTAAGCAGTATGCTGTGTGTTTATGTGTTATGTATTGCTTCAGACTAAAACTAAATTTTAAGAGGTGTACATATATTTAAATACACAGGGAGAAGATGAGTACCATGATCAAGAAAGAACTGGAGGAACTTGAGAATGAAAGAAGACGACGCCAAAGGGAACGTCAGTTGAAAAAAATGGTAGCAGAAAGGGCAGCTGCAAATGATCGATCTGTGCCTCTTAAAGCTTGCTCAAAGGAAAAGCTAAAAGGATACAAGTATGTTTATCTCGTTGTTATACAGTAAGCACTATTCACTACAATGGGCCTTTTTGTGTACAAACACAGATGTGTCTGTACATAGAGCTGTCATCTGCATCTGTTTTCACCATTTATGTGCATTTTCATGGATAACATGATATGTGGAAAACTGTTTGACTTAGAGAACTGAAGAATATTCATAAAATACAGGTCAGGTTTATTGGACCAATTTTCAAAATTTATGCTGTTTGTTGTTCTTTCAGCATAAATTATACAATTATACTTAATGCAGTACAGAAAACACATTGCAAGAAAAACCATTTGACCTTTTTTTCTTCAGACTTACAGGAGTGATAAATGTTATTTATATACAGGTGGAGTTTAAAAAATCAGCTTGATCGGACCATGTCTCCAAAAGTTTTTTTTTTTCAGCATATATTGTATGGTATGCAATGCAGATAATACATAAGCAGAGAACTGGTTGGCTTTTTGTCTTCAGGAGGGATTTAATATTACTAAAATATCAGTTGAGTTTTTAAAAAATCAGCCTATTTGGAATATTTGTCTTGAAGTTATGCTGTTTTTTTTTTTTTTTTTTTTTTATTCTCCTCGGAAGCAATGGCTGATCAGACTTAAATGTTCATTTTTCAAACACTTGCATTTTAAAGATGTGACTTTTCACTCCCATTCACCTATGGGATTACGCAATATTTTGTGAACTCTCATGGGCCTTAAGCTATATTCTTATTGTCCATGTTACTTGATGTGCATAATTACAATTTGGTGTTGATTTTGCTGTTAAGCATTATGTAATATTGTATCAAAATTGACAAAATAACCTATTTTGTGCATCATTATTTACTGCTTTTTATCTGTACATTTGACAGCTTTGCTGCCTTTTTTAAACTTGCATTGAATAGCATGGATGATATTTTTTACAGAGAAGCTGACAGAGCAAGGCAGGAGGAATATAGACGTGAAATGAATGAAATAAAAGAAAGAGTTGACAAGAGGCCATTTTTGTTTGAAAGAACAACACAGGTAGCTTTCCTTATTTCTAAAGCCATATTGTTTTATACTGGCAAAAAAAAGCAATTTCAATCTTTGCCTGTTCAATACATTTATCTGTTTTATCAAATCAGTCATTGTGTGCTAAATTAGATTTTTTTTCAGACACTGACTTTAATCCACACACTAAAACAATAATTATACTTTAATCTAAAACATTGTAATTACCAGCTTGCCATTTGTTATAACCAGTCCTGTTGGTTTTTAAGGTTCTTAGGACTCTGATGACTCAATAAAATTCACTTCATATTTTATTTCATTAGTTCTGCCCTAAAGTTGACAATTCCAATTTTAGTCTAGTCTTCTCTCTGTCACATCATTTTTATTCCATAGCTAGTTACATCTCTTTCGTACCATTGCCCATTTACTTTTTGATTAACATATAAAGCTTGGCTTTTCTGTCTCCTCTCTGTCAATAACAGGTATATATATTTTAAAAAATTAGATAATTTTTTTTCTTCGCAATGGTGCAAGTACTGGATGCATACTGTATGCATTTTCACAAGAAAAATGATACATTTTCCCAACAAACTGGAATAATAATTTAACAAATAATATTGGAATACATTGCATATTTTCCAATAACTTTTATAGGTAAATGCCAGAAAAGCGGCTGAGAGGAAGTATCATGATACACTAAGACGTGCAGGAATCGATGAAGAATTTATTGCTGATAAAGGTTCTCACGCTAGGGGATACAGATATGAGGATGATGATGAGGATGATGATGATGCCAGTGACCTGGGCTCCTACAGGGCCACTGTCAAACAAGGTTATGAGGATGATGGGCTGTCCGATGGGGATCGCACACCAGAGGAACAGTCAGACTTGGAATAATTTCACTGTATTTAATTGGACTTGATCAAATCTGGTAGACTCAGGAATCAGGGATTGGCTAGATATTTTATATGTAGTACATTTTATAATATGCATTGATCATACAAAAAAACTTTCATACATGTAATCTACAAAAACAACAGCTAAAGAATTTTGAGCTGAAAAATATTGACAATTCCAAGTTTTGGACATTGTGTTTCCTGTTTCTGAGGTAGCAAAATTAACAGTTCAAAGGAGCATTGCATTATTGATTGTTAAACATTAACACTTAAGGGTGCATATTGAGACAGTTTCCTGTGAAAATTAACCCCTGCCCGGACCCACCAACCTTTATCATCCTTTCCTGACACTTGCCATAACTCTTTGACAAACTGGGGAAATTAAAAAGTCCTTACTCACACTTAAATGATAGTTTTCTGAATTCTGTCAACTCTTCAAGGTTCTGTGCAATTCGGAAATGTGTCAAGATGGTTGATGGGCTGTGAGGTTCAACCGGGAGGGGGGAATTTTAATTATTTTTGCAACTATTCATTTATGGCAATTATCATGTTAAAATATGATCAAAAAGTATATCTTGTCCACAGATAAGCTCTACAAGAAGTGTTATTTGTACATAATGAGTATTTAAAACCCTGCACTTTTTCACTTTCACCAGATGTATAGGAAAGTTGCATAAAAAAAACAAAGTGAAAAAAAAAAGGATATATTAGTAAGTGGTATCTATCAAGGCTTTTATGTAGTTTTGTAAAATGTGCTTTGTTGTATGATGTTCACTTTAATGGTCAGTATGTATTTAATTACCAATTAAAACCACTTTGTGAAGAATGAATGAGAAATTTCAATTCTTTATGCATGGACACAGTGTGTCTGTATATATGGCCATCACCTGTCTGTCATTGTCTGCTATGAAATTTTAAAATATAGAATACATGACCTCATTGTCACATCATTACACGATGTATCATGTATAATACAGATGGTTTTCTTGAAGTTGCAAGAGGGGTGGGGGGGGGGGGCATTGGACATTTTTATTGATCAAGAAAGCAACTATGTATTTTACTGAGATGCATGAAATGTTCATATTATTTAGCGTGATCTGTGCATGAAGCACCCCATTCCCATGACTTGTGAACAACTGTTCATTTTTGCCAAAACATGGAATTTCCTTAGGTAAACCATAATTTATCCCTTAATAACCAATCCAATTAATGAATCTGTTAACGAATCCAATCCGATATTCAAAGTTTGTCCTTGTTTTTTTTATTTTTTAACATTTGGTTTTTTGTATAAGAGATTATTACAAAGGGGCAGCCATTGCTAGCTTCCGACATCTGTATTATACATGGCACAGGGCTTCTGTACAATACATATTTTATCTGTACCACAATGGTGGTCAAAATAAAGTTCACAGACATTTAGGGTGCTTTCCCAGAGATTTAGATCGATCTAAAGATTAAGTTTTAGATCGACCTAACTCCCTGGGGGTTCACGCTTAATTGCAGTCAGCCGAGCGGGCACCATAGTTAATTACCCCCTTACAGCTTTTAGTAGGCGGGACAGACGCTTAAGCTGGCCAAGCTGACAGTAATCTAGTGAGACTCCCCACAGGGATAGATCGATCTAAAAATCTATGGAAATGGGGTGTTAGAATCGGCCCAAGACTTAGCGGATATCGCTCCTGGAGCAACTTGAGTTTGTAGGAGCATTTGTGCTTGGTGCGAAATTCATGTTGGTGTTAAACTTTTTGGTAGCCATCAATAGAAACCTTAACCAGAACAAATACAGAAATATTCTGAAAACCAACTGCCTTCCATTTGTTAGAAACCTGTCAGGAAGAATACCTTGCTGCTTCAGAGCCCTGGAAGCAGCCAGATGAGGGCAGACGCACCACTGACCATTGCTGACTGGACACTGTTATTACTTTTTCACAGATGACAATTTAAAAAAATGGAGATTGAAATGCTTTTAAAGGTTGATGTATGACATAGAATCAGCCGTGTGTTTTTGATTGTATAATTAGGTGAATTCAATTAAAGAGCTGATGTCACAATTAAAAGTTATTAAAACAAGACATAAACCCTAGTATTCATTTTCAAGTCAGACAAGTAGGAAAAGACTAAAAAAATTATTTGGAAAAAATAGTCAAATGTCAAGTCTGTATATAACATATGTTGAATGAATATATAAAAATAGTATTAAAATAGAGTTGATAGCATTAAAAAACTGGCTTAGATTCTGTATTGCATATTCACTCACAATTCATGAAATGGAAAGAAAAGTATTTTATTGTAATAGCATCAGACAGTACAGCATGTAGTCACAAACATACATGTCAATCAAAAGGATTAAAAGTGAAATTTGAGATTATTAATCTCAGTACATCTTTTTTACTATTAAAACTTAATAAAATGATGCAAATAGTACACTGATATTTCAACTCTTTTCTATTATCAAATGGTACGATGCATGAATTTATAATTATACTATAAACTTACAATGCTTTAAAGCTTATCATAACAATCACACATTATTTTACATTACTTGCACATTACTCTAATGAAGGAGCAGTCACTGAATTGATTATTTACCTTCAGAAAAGTTTTCACCAGGTATATTTCTTTTAAATCGAAATGCATACAACACCCGACTTCAAATATGAATTTCTTTAATAATCCCTGGGAACATATATTAACCAACACCACTCAGTCATTAAAGATGTCAAGTTGGAACTTTCGAAGATTTACTTCCTAAACCTCTACTGTATAACTATATTATTAGAATTTGATGTCTGCAGCTGTTAGAATAGATCCCAATTCATTACATCATTTTACCAATAGTGGTTAATTTAAATTAACAAAATATATATAAACAATATTCTCAAGGTGTCTGACTCAACTAAATAGATGCCCTATAGACAAACATTAAGTTTGCTATTCACACATTATTGTAAGTTTACTGTCGTTATCATCACTTTCATTGCCATCCATTTCCATGATCGGATCAATGGACTGAGCGTGTGTTGTTTCTGCAATACTACTAGCAGTTGTTATATGAACTTGCTCATCTGCATGTAAATCATGCAAACTCATGTTTCCTGCCATTTCCTCGTGATCTAAAGTCAAGTGTAAGTCACTCTGGTATATGATTTCTTCTTTGCCTCCCTGAGTACCATGGTAGCTGGTAGTTAAACTGGACATCTCTTGAGGCTGGGTCAGCACTACCACATTAGCACCAGAAGTGTGGGTGGGTAGTGTAGAACTCATGCATTCATCATTGCCCAAAACTTCTACAAATACAGATTAAAAGACAACAGTAGCACCTCTTTGAACAAATGGCAAAACTGACCTCACATGATGGTACATATGCAGACATTTAACAAAGAAACTTATAGAAAAAGATTCAATGACACTTTGCAAATTGGACTGGGAAAGAGTTGAATCGGAAATAATCCAGGTCAATTATAATTTCAAAGGCAAGTTGCAATTTAGTCCTGAGGAACATTTTTGTAAATTTGAGAATAACACGTAAAAGGTTTTTCCTTTAATGGCATTTACAAGGCAATATCAACACTGACAGACAGGACATGTTCAAGAGATGGCTATATAGTCAAGAGACATGGCATCTGCCCCAACTTCCAGTGAAGCTCTTCTTACCTTCTGTGCCAAGGATATTATTCTGTAGGTCTAAATCTCCTTCTGGTTGAGTTGTGACAGCTACAACATCTTTTGTTACTGCATGAGGAAAAATTATGGACTCACATGGACTGCCATGAAGATCTGGAATTTTATTTCAATCAAAAAGAACACAATGAATATATTTGACAATGTAGGGCTGTTTGAAAATGTGCACAAAGATGTATGCTGACAATTATATTTACAGCTTTCCAAATCTACAAATCTCAAAACAGGAATATGGCATGGTCATGACTTTTTTCTGTAGGATAATATGATTCTTACCTGGGTTGCCAAACTGATATAAGTCATCTTGATTTTGCTGAATAAACAAAACATTTTGGCAACTGTCCATTCCATCATCCTGCTGAGCAATGGTGCTGGATTTACTGGGCCTGCCCTTTTTCAACGATTTGGACAAGAGGTGTCCCTTCATGTGAACATTTCTACTGCCACTTTGAGAAAATGACTTGTCACACAGTTCACACATATACATTTTCTTCCCTATGAAGAAATGATGTTCATTATTCTTCTTGTATATGAATCTTAAAAGCATGCAATACATTATCCATGAATTTTTACAGATATCNTTATCATCACTTTCATTGCCATCCATTTCCATGATCGGATCAATGGACTGAGCGTGTGTTGTTTCTGCAATACTACTAGCAGTTGTTATATGAACTTGCTCATCTGCATGTAAATCATGCAAACTCATGTTTCCTGCCATTTCCTCGTGATCTAAAGTCAAGTGTAAGTCACTCTGGTATATGATTTCTTCTTTGCCTCCCTGAGTACCATGGTAGCTGGTAGTTAAACTGGACATCTCTTGAGGCTGGGTCAGCACTACCACATTAGCACCAGAAGTGTGGGTGGGTAGTGTAGAACTCATGCATTCATCATTGCCCAAAACTTCTACAAATACAGATTAAAAGACAACAGTAGCACCTCTTTGAACAAATGGCAAAACTGACCTCACATGATGGTACATATGCAGACATTTAACAAAGAAACTTATAGAAAAAGATTCAATGACACTTTGCAAATTGGACTGGGAAAGAGTTGAATCGGAAATAATCCAGGTCAATTATAATTTCAAAGGCAAGTTGCAATTTAGTCCTGAGGAACATTTTTGTAAATTTGAGAATAACACGTAAAAGGTTTTTCCTTTAATGGCATTTACAAGGCAATATCAACACTGACAGACAGGACATGTTCAAGAGATGGCTATATAGTCAAGAGACATGGCATCTGCCCAACTTCCAGTGAAGCTCTTCTTACCTTCTGTGCCAAGGATATTATTCTGTAGGTCTAAATCTCCTTCTGGTTGAGTTGTGACAGCTACAACATCTTTTGTTACTGCATGAGGAAAAATTATGGACTCACATGGACTGCCATGAAGATCTGGAATTTTATTTCAATCAAAAAGAACACAATGAATATATTTGTAGGGCTGTTTGAAAAAGTGCACGAAGATGTATGCTGACAATTATATTTACAGCTTTCCAAATCTACAAATCTCAAAACAGGAATATGGCATGGTCATGACTTTTTTCTGTAGGATAATATGATTCTTACCTGGGTTGCCAAACTGATATAAGTCATCTTGATTTTGCTGAATAAACAAAACATTTTGGCAACTGTCCATTCCATCATCCTGCTGAGCAATGGTGCTGGATTTACTGGGCCTGCCCTTTTTCAACGATTTGGACAAGAGGTGTCCCTTCATGTGAACATTTCTACTGCCACTTTGAGAAAATGACTTGTCACACAGTTCACACATATACATTTTCTTCCCTATGAAGAAATGATGTTCATTATTCTTCTTGTATATGAATCTTAAAAGCATGCAATACATTATCCATGAATTTTTACAGATATCATACTACACCTAAACATTAACCATTCATCACTTCTTTATCATCTAAATGAGAGCAATTTTCTAAAGTATATTCAAGGACATATGTATACATGGTTCAGACAATTTTATTCTTATGTAAGTTACATATATCCTGCATGTGCTTACCTGAATGAGTGAAAAGATGTTTCTTTAAACTTGATTGCTCAGCAAAGCTTCTATTGCAACCGCTTACATTGCAGATAAATGGTCTTTCACCTACAATAAAGTGTTTATTTGGTAACAATAACAATTCACATCAAGACCAGTAAAATTTAGCCAAAACAATGAACTGAGAAAACATGCTGTTAACCACAGAGAGAGAGAGAGAGAGAGAGAGAGAGAGAGAGAGAGATGTCAAATGTACAGACAAATGCAGAAAATAATGATGCACGAAATAGGTTACTTTGTCAATTTTGATGCAATAATACATTATGCTGTACAGCAAAACCAACACCAAATTTAAATTATGCACAACAGTTAACAGGAATATTAGGAATATGTAATTAGCGTAAAGCTTCAGCCACATGAAAGTTCAAATTCACACACTGAAAATGAGAGAATGAATAAAATTTCACAAAAAGAGCATCAATTGGAAAAAAAATCCAACCAAGCTGATGTTCCAATTTGAGCTATATGGATATCCTAAGAATCATTTTTGAGCTATATCATAAGCAACATGGTTTTCCTTTCATAGCTTTTGTGGTGGCAGTCTTTTTTTTTTTTTTTTCAATTTTAATGCAATATATCAAATTGTGGGAGGCCAGAATCTATTGTCAAGTATGGTATTCACTTGACAATAGATTCTGGCCTCCCACAATATATCAAATTGTGGGAGGCCAGAATCTATTGTCAAGCGAATACCATACTTGATCTGCAGACTAGTTAGTGAGTGGATCAACTGGTTCTAAACAGACCCATTGCCCATACATAGAAATGTTAGATGCGGTGTCTGCATGTAGTGTTGCTACTTTTTCTACCTTTCTTTTCTTTTCTATAAACTAATAGAAAATATGCTGATCTTTCCCTACAGAACCCCTACCTGTATGTACCCTCATATGGTTTTTCAAATTCCCTGCTGTAGAAAAAGACTTGTCACAGCCCTCCTCTGGGCACACATAGGGCTTCTCACCAGTATGAGATCTCATATGCACCCCAAGACTCTGGGAAGTGTAAAATTGTTTGCCACAGCCATCATAATTGCACCTGTAATTGCGTTGACCCCTATAATAAAAATAAGTGTGAAGATTTTGATTCACCAAATTTTCTTAATGTTATGTTGAGATAAATGATCAATGTTGCTAATTATAAATAAAACAAATTTAAATAGATTGGATACTACCAATTTCAGAAAGAATGTGGAGCAGAACGCCTTGTCTAAACAAGGCCGCAAAGCTGTCAAATGTACAGACACAAAGCAGAAAACACTGATGGTAGAGCGTATGATACTGTAAAATGTACAATATATAAAAATATTCATAATGCTCTTTAAACATTGTTTTTATTTATCCATTAATCTATTTTATTATTTATTTTATTAATCTTATATTAAAAGAAGAGTATGATCTTTATACATATTTTTCTTCTCTTCTATTTGACTCGGTAGTGGGATTTGACCTGACACATGCCTATGCCTATGTTGTACATTATTTTTTTCTATGTAACTGTGATATTTATTTATTTATCTATTTATTTGTGTAATTGTAGTTCTATGATTATATCACTTGATAATACCACCAAATATATTATGGTTTATATCATTAATTTTTTTCTACAAATTGACTACAGTTTTCAAAATTTCTTTGACTTTGACTACAAATGAAAAGCTTATTTTTTAAAAAGATAATGCTGGTTCGAATTCTTTTCTCCAAAAATATCCTTAAATAGCTGCTAAAATTGGTTTATTCACTGTTCAATTCTGACGTTTCTTGTGGGGATTTCCCAAGGAGAGAATCCAAGAGGACAAGGTCAAATGCACCTCATCTGAGGATCAGAAGTGATCCTATCTACTGCCAACCAAGACTCGTTAACCAATGATCTGTAAATATCCAAACAAAATGAAATGCCAGGGGCTATTTTATACATTCATCTTTGAATACTATTCAAAAATTTGTTTTCGTGTGCATAGGTGTGAGCGGGTGCAAATATTTACATTCGTTGCTGACTGTGGCATCAGAAACTTTTCTGATTATCTACATTCACCTCCCATCAGTTAAACGCATCTTGAAAGTTGGCATAAATGCCTTGCAACTATTATACATTTCTGACATGCATTCTCAGTTGAGTATAGTGAACTTGTGAGTTGCAAAGACTGTTATCACTTGCCCCATTAGAATTTTGATCCATGAGGTAATGCTGCTTGTACCAATAAGGCTTGCACAAAATCCACATCCTTTGGTGGAGAAATTGACTGACTGATAAGTCTCTTGAAATTATATTAACTTCAGAGCCTCCTTTGTTTCAGCATATGTGCAGTGCTTCAAGCTGTACTTCCATTCATTAAGATTACTCATAACTAGCATGTTTGTTTGATATGATTTAAATGATACAAGAAAGCGTACAAATTTTTAGACTGTGTGCATCAGCACAACATACAATTACCAAGCTGGTATTTGAACTTGATCTGTATTTTAGTGCCATAAATCAATCCGGAAATTTTAATTTCTATTCGGATATTTAATCTGTGCCTAAGCACTTAACTTTTGTGATAATTAAGCTAATAAATTTAAAATATCTTGAAAAAATGCATACGTATGGGTCAACATGTGGTATCTGAGATGAGCAGGCCATGCAAACTTCCGACCACAGCCTTCAAAGCTGCATTCTAATACCCTTTCTCCATTGTGTGAGAGCTGATGTTGTCGTAAGTATCCCATAGTGGTGAAGGTGCGACCACAGTCATCAAAACCACAGACAAAACACTTGTCTGTAAAATAACAAGAATTAAAAGGATTAATGCTAAGAAGAGTAATTCTTAATGATACTGTATTAATTCTGACATATTACTTAACTTGTAACATTACAACCAGATGTTGAAAACTGGTCTCTTTACTGTGAATAGGAGTCAAAACCTAAAATATGACATAAACATACCATGACGTATAAATAATAAGTATCTATCATGATCATTTAAAAAAATTAGGTAAGATGCAATTTTTACCTGCTTTTTTGCCTTTATGCTTAGCACCAAAGTTTTTCCTTTTTGCTTGCTTATTTTGTATTTTGACCAATTTATCCACAGACTGACTTGTATCAAAAATGACCTTAGCTTCCACTATTCCTTTAGCTGGATTGTTTGCAAGCACTAATACTGGTCTCCCTTGATTTGGTCCCATACTCACAAGTTTACTGTGCAAATCTTGCATGTTGACATAGTACATGCCTTGTTCATGCAAATTAATAGGGATATGTTTATCGGTAATGCTAGTTATGCCATTGATCCCTTCTAGAGGCAAAAGGGAAGTGTCAAGGTTTTCTTCAAGCCCATTAACAGTTTCTGTACATTCAGTTTGCAAGGAATTGCTACTGAACACATGTTGATCAATTGTTCCTTCTCCTTCTTTGTCTTGGTCATGAAACAGGTGTGCATGCATGATGCTTTCCATGTCTGGTGTGCTAGATGCTGACCCTGATGCACCAGCTCTGGTTAAAAATATGCTACTATCAAACGTGTGTTCCATTTTGTTTGAACAATCAGGGAGTTCGGAATAGGAAACGCTGTTGCTGCATTGACCTCTACAAGCATCTTCACTTGTATTAATACTTTCATCCGTCACCAGACATAAAGACTGGTGTCCACTTGCTGAGCTCATTATGCTATTTTGGCTTGCTGGAACCTGAAAAAGTGAACTTGTGAAATTAAAGATGCACAGTGTAAGATTTCCCATGGAAAGCTTGTACTTCCCAAATTTTCCTGGGCTAGGAGGTGTTTTCTCTAACCATCCTCAGATTGCCCTTCCTAACACTCACCATAACTTTGAAACAATCTGAGAAAGTTAATAAGTCCTTAATCATTAACTGGGGGGTTGGGGTGGAGATGAAGGGAGGCCAGAGACTGACTCATTTATATACCCTTTCCCTTGGGGAATGGTATTTAAAACTACCCCTAGAGGAACTTCCAACATTCAACAATCACAGTATGTGGCTTTTGTCTTCTGTATTAATATTCTTGATATACACCACATTTCACATTTATACAGCAATCCACTACTGAGCAAGACTAAAAAAGTGTCATTTCTTTACCAAAATGGCCCTGAACTAGCGTAAGGCTTTAATGTTAAGAATCGGTCCCACCGCGACGTAACTAACACAAATTAGATCAAATTACAATTAGATGCAAAAACTGATATCAAACTAATTCTTTAAAAAACATCTTAAAGTTCAGACGACGTTGGTATGCCCATCGACTTACACGTCATTATTCCGACTTTTGCAATACATTGCAACATATATATTTTTTTCTCGTGCGAACTTGTACTTGCTGCTCGTTTTGCCGTCTGCACTGCTGAGCATTATGGGGTGGACATATTTAATAACCGGAATATTTGATAGGTGGCGCACTTGTCAAACGGAAACAAACGAAAAGCAACTTATTTACTTATTATTTGAGTTGGTTAATACATGTACATTTTTTCAACAAAATAGTATACTCATAATCCACAAGGAAAATGTTGAGTGAAAGTATCCGATAATCTAAACAATAGGGCCTCTGCTAATCTGTGGAGATTTCCACTACGGAACTGCCCGAACTTAAACGACATGGCGGCTTCTTACCAGTTTGAACCGGTTACTTAGATTGCCGTTTTTAGCATTGAAAAATCGAGGGAGAAGCGTGAACAATAGTGACGGAGGTAAGTCTTAATATTTCCGTTAGTATAATGCACAGAAGTAATTTTGAGTGGACAAGGGTCTCTTGCATGCATCAAAAATGCTGTATGTTACCGATTTCATGGGCGCCGCCATCTTGATTTTCCTTGGCGGGGATAACAAAGTGTTCAACGTGAATCCACCCTTCCTGACATTGGCATTGTTCAATATGTCATGTATGTTGTGTTGTGAGAAGCATGAAATAAGTACGTGGCGCACATATTATGTACGTGACGTACGTGTTATTCTTTCACAGATCAACTCCTCTGAGTTATATGTCATGATAATATGTTCACGTTCGTCGTCACGTATGAAAACGAAATTACTGGATTACGAAAGACATGTGAATGTTACCATTCAATCAGTTCCCTGTGACGTCATGTTTTCTTGGCAGATGGCCGACAAAAAATGTCTGTTGAAATTACCGGCAAAAGTCATTTATATTATGTATACAAGTAAGGGATGGACTGTAAAATTTTGCCAGTAACTAAGAATACGTTGATTGGAAGTGTGAAATTTCTTAAATCCCCAGAGAGCAAATCTTTAAAGAATATTGTGAAGATAAATGCTGTATTTTGTTTGGTTCCCGACCAAGAAAATTACATTAATTGTGTATTCTAAACTACCTTCATTATTGTAGAACCCAAGAGTACCATAAATCCAGAACTTCACATGTGTATGATTAATATAGATATATGGCCAGTGCAGTCCACTATCTGGGTTATAAACTGATTTCAAACCTAAATAAAAAAAAGCAAATTTAAAAAGAGGTGTGTGTGTGTTGGGGGTGGGGGGCTTTCCATTTTAATTAGTGTGTGAATAAGAGAGGGGGGTATAATCATCATGGGCTGTCACTTATTAAGAGTATGGCACAGCAACTTTTCTCATGGGAGACACAGGATCCTCCACGGGAGACTTTACGAAAGGTGTTGGACCATATCAGTCATGCCTGAAAAAATTTTTTCTTGATCCAGTAAAGAACCTGTATTGTTGTTTCTTATGTCCAACAAGTTTTCAAGGTTACTTGGGATGTGAAAATGAAAGGAATGCTTTTTTTGTTTCTATTTTTGGCGATACATTTTACTTCACTTTTTTTTATTGACTTTTTGCTGTTTCTCTTTTCAGTTGTGTGTATGGCTAGGCCTTTTATTTAGAAAAATGGGTTGTTGAACATGAAATACTTATTAGTAACACAGTGTGAAAAATAAAAAAGTGGCAGAGAAATAGATTGATCAGAATTAAATAAAAACTTGAAAAAAGGTTGGCCCTGACTGTCTTATAATCCAGAAGAGAGGAAAATGTTCTGCACTGAGTTTCAGGAGTACTACAGCTATCATTATATCAACAGCAACATAAGTCTAACTGCTTTATTCTGGGTTATGAAAATTTCCGAACATCTGCTTCTGCATATATATGCACTGTTCATGGGCCACTGTTCATGAAGATGATTTGGCCTAAGTGCCCATGTAGGTGCAGAGTTTGATTTTCTTTCTTCCGGAAAAGAAAACAAATGAAGAGAGAATTCAGTCTCGGGCTGGTCAGTCCTTATCAAAACTTCAGTTGATTGAAAGAGACTGCCTTTCTATGCTGTTTCACAATGCACAAATGATATGTTATTGTCAAGCACACAGGTTAAATAGTTTTTTGATATTTCAGACATTTTTATGGACAGACGCTTCTATTTTCTGGCTACCCCTGTTCTTCATTCTTCAAAATTATTTTGGTCCTTGTGACATTCTACAATGCACATTTCGTTAAGTAATAAACAACTTTTCTTGTACATAAAATTTCCTGTGTTAAATTTGTTACAAAGTGTATGAAATATATAGAAAATACTTTATTTTAGTTTATTTTCTATGATTGAAACAATATAAAGGGGCCCGCACACGGTGAGCATTTGGCGCGCGCCACTTGCGCTGTGCCAGATGCTCGCGCTCCTCAGCTCCCCACAAACGATGCGCTCTTTTCTCAGCAGAGGTGCTTCCCGGCCTGCCCCTAGCGGACGCACTGTTAACTGTGGGATCATGTGTTTAAGGAAACATTACATATTGTTGTTTTTTCTGATAGTAATGGATAATGGTGACCACGTTAATCAATCAGACTAGCTATAACTGTGTACATTTTTGTTGACTTCGCTGGGGGCTGCCATTTTTGTTTGTTTCCGGCTATTGGCACATGCGCGTTGTTAGCATGGCGTGAGCAATCAGCGCTTGCACCCCACACACGCTGAGACATTTGCCTCAAGAGACCAAAAAAATCAAACACGTGAGAAATTTTGCTCAGCCGCGCGTGAGGCAAAAATCTCACCAAAATACCCCCGCACACGATGAGAAAACGGCGCAGCGCAAGTGGCGCGCGCCAAATGCTCACCGTGTGCGGGCCCCTTAAAATACAACTGAAAACAATTTGTCACATTTCATTCTTCTGTTGTATTTTGGTCCTTGTGTCATTCTACAACCCACATTTTATCAAGTAATCATGGAATTAATTTTTTCTTTCTGTAGATTGTTATAAAGTTTATGAAATATAGAAAACACTTTATTTTAGTTTAATTTTCTCGGATTGAAAACAAAAAAAGTATGCCTGAAGACATGCATAATTTGTCATATGTCTGTAACTTTGCTTCGGTCTGACAGAATTTTCAAGCTTGTCAGACTGAATGTCTGACGGAGTTTCTGGCCTTTCACAGAGTTTGTTCCTCAGTATTGGCAGTAGAATGGATGTTGAGTGATGGACTTAGAAATACACTCTGTGTGCAACAGTTGCTGTGTTCAATTGTTTTCTTGCTCCAAAGGTTGTTCAGTAGCCCTGACAATCCTGGTATATATCACATTTACGGATAGAATGATTTTTTAGCTTCTTCCTCCCAGGAAAATTGGTGTCAGTTGACAAGGGGCATGCAATACAGCCTTTGTAAGATAGATTTGACCTTCCTACAGTTCTTTTTCCTTGTTGTAGGTTGCTGTGAAAGATGGCTTAAGGGAGTCTGGAATCGTCTAATGCAGTGACCTGTCCAGCAGAGTTGATCAACTGGAAAGACAGAATATCTAAGGCTTGGTATGTTTGTAAGTTTTCTGATCTCCAAATTAGATATTCTGTCTTTCCAGTTGATGTTAAGCAGTTGCCTTAGACGGCACATCTGAACCCTTTGGAGTTTGCATATGTGCCACCTGTAGAGGGTGATTTTGATGAAAAAAGAAGATGGCTGAGTACAACTTTGCATCTTGTATGTAGGCCGATGCCTGGTTGCTTCCAAACAGTAGTTTGAAGCTTAATTGCCTCCAGGGAGGTAAATGGGCAGTTGCCATTCACCAAATGCCACTGCTGAAACGAGTTGGCGAGTATTATCTCAGTAACTGGTCCAAAAGGGTGTTTGCTTCTAAGCGACAGCAAGAGAAATACTTGGTTTAAACTTGCCCTGTGAAAAAAAAACTGTCTGTACATGTATATAACTGTCACCTGTGTCTTTCGTCATCATTGCGGTTTCAGTGATAACGCGATAAGTGGAAATAAGTTTAACCTTATGTCTTCAAGCTTACAGATCTGATGAATATTCATAAAATATAGGTTGTGTTTGAAAAAATCTGCATGATTGAGCTATTTATAAATGCTGTTTTTCGCTTTTTTCAGCATATATGCAATACTGATAACACGTTTTAAGGAAAAACAAAAGACCGATAATAAAATACAGGTCTAGGTCAAAAATCAGTTTGTTCGGGCCATTTTCCAAAAGTTATGCTGTTTCATTTGCTGTCACCTGCATCTGTCATCCCTGTTGTTGCCATTCACTTTCAGTGATAACACGATAAATGGAAAAACATTTTATCTTTTGTCTTCAAACTGATTAATATTCATAAAATATAGGTTGAGTTCGAAAATCAGCATGTTCTGGCCATTTTGTCAAAAATTATTTTTTGACTAATTTTCATTTGTTTGTTTTATGACTGCTGCTCTTGATAAATGTGTACAGTAGTTGTTTGTGTTATTATTAGATCTATAGCAATAAAATATTTTTATATGTTAACTTTCCTGTAATCTTGTTTTGTTAAAAAAAGCTGTAAAACTGGCATAGCCTGTTAAGTACCTGGAATTCTTTTTGAATCTGGATGATTATTTAGAAAAAAAAGTATTCCATTGCATGCTTAGTAAACCCCTCCCAAGTAATTTTAGTTTTAAATATGGTACAGCAACCAAGCCACTGGGCCTAGTTGCATTCAGTAGCAACAAAGTGAAAAGTTGATGTCGAGCCGCACCCAAGGTATATAAAAAAGAATTTTTGTTAAGTTACTTTTCTTCTGTGCTTCATATATGTATTTAACAGGTTAATAATTTGTATATCTTAACTGTGGCAAGATTGATTAATTAAATTAATTATACCTTTTCAGATCTGTGTGAATGTCTTATCGACTCTAATGCCTCCGGCCAGTATGACAGCTTTGACAGAACAAGCAACAAAGTTGCTGGACTTCAACCAAAAACTTGATATCAATTTGCTTGACCATGTTGTGGGCTGCATGTATAGTGGCGAAGGACAAACAGTAAGTATGGTTTTTTCTTTGTTATTGAAGTCTTTATGATGGGGTATACCATCCCGCTTGATGCCAGATGCTGCTGTCACACCACGAGTCCTACAGTGGCCATTTTGGTGAAAGACTACTGGTAGTTTTCATCATAAAAATGACTCGGTATTGGTGCTCAAATAAATGTCGAAATAGACAAGGTGGGTATCAGTTTCTCAGCCACTCATTATATTGACAATTTAATGACCTTGAATTTGACATTGACCTAATTTTTACCATGAACTTGTCTTTGCAAATTAGCAGAGATATAAACATAGTTACTATTGAACTTGAATAGTGACTCTTAATGTGACCTTGGGATTTGAAGTTTGACTTATTAGTGACTTAGCACATTTTTTAGCCCATATTCCTCTACAACTAAAACGTGCATCCATAGCTACCATTTAATTTCATTGAGCTTAATCATTTTAAAATTTGGTGTTGATTTTGGTGTTAAAGGGATAATAACTCTTCGTTTCCGCCATAAAATGAATTTTTCTGGAGTAAACAACAATTTTCCCATACTTACCAATGGTTAATGAATCCATTTTTACATTCAAAGTTAGTCCCTGGTTTTTTTCTAAAAAGTTTGGTTTTTTGTTAAAATCTCTTAAGAGATTATAACAGAGTATAGCCATCAATGGAGGTCGCGTGGTCAATAGACAAGCTCAGATATCAGAAAAAATAGCTACAACTGCCGTTTTTGTGGTAAAACAGAATATATTATATTTCTACGAGTTATTCACAATGTTTTTATTGTGAAATGTAGATCTCACACTAAGAGTTTTTATCCCTTTAAACACCAGGTAAAATTGCATCAAAACCAAAAAACTGTTTTGTGTAACATCATTTGCTTTTATGTCAGTACAATTTACAGCTTTGCTGCTTGTCTTTCAGTAGGCCTATGAAAGTCATATGCCTACGAAAGTTATCTGTAAAGTCGATTTTCCCAATTATATGGCTTATTTCTATGCATTGGTGTTGAAAATATAATGTGTAAGCCTTTTGGGTGCTGCCATTCGATGGGCACTGTTAATGACAGGGTTTGGCAATTTGTGTGTATATAAAATATTGAAGCGGCAATAATAAATATTGATACATATGAGCAATTATGCAATTATATTAATTTTATAATTTTTCCAAACTTATACATGTATATAAATTTTATTTTTTCTTAAGCAACGTGTGGCCCAAGAGGTGCTAACAACACTGAAAGAACACCCAGATGCATGGACCAGAGTAGATACCATTTTGGAGTATTCAAATAATCAACAGACAAAATATTATGCCCTACAGATACTTGAAAATGTAATAAAAACAAGATGGAAAGTTCTGCCAAGAACTCAGTGTGAAGGTAAGGGTGTCTGAAATTACAGATAAGAACCCTAGCTTAGTAGTCAGTTTTGCACCTTTGTAGATGAAATGTTATTAACCATAAAGTATATTGGGATAATTTTGAAGCATTGCTTTGTAAATATCACTTTTTTTTATTATTATTTTCTAAGAAGCAAATAGAGCACCTACTTATTAGATATGATCAACATGATGACTGCTAAACAATGAGTTCATTTAACATTTGCATATGAAGTTCATGGCTATATTTAGAATAAAGTCAAACAATCATTGAAGATCTAATTTTAACAACATAAAGCATAAATTTTTTAATTGTTTCTCAAACAATTATTTTCATCAGAGGTCGGTGGGTAAAAAAAAATATATATATAAATTATGACGTTATCGTCGTTATGTTTACTAGTAAAAGAACATTTTAGACAATGATAACGCCCATTTTAACTAACTAAAGCCATATCTCAAAACAATAAAAACAGTGATTCTTATTCAAAACAAGCCGATTGCTTGCATGTAAATTTTAATCTGAAAGAATCACTATGGTATTTTTTTTCATCAGAAACAGCTCGACTTTCCTAATAGAAATAATTTGTTCCTTAAAATGATAATAAAAGTGAGCTTACAGTTAATACCTCTATGGTTAACATGAACAGGCTTATTATTCAAACCAAATGACTGTTGAAAGTTATTGCCAAGCTAATAATAATGCAAATAATAGCAATAAAACAGAAACCCTACTGACCTTTTTACATATTACATTTTGTCTGTCATAGACTTTAAACCCAGCCTAGTGGCTGGAGAATTGCTTGTACATATGGCTGTACATAGACTACTGCTTTAGCCTACATGGTTCTCCTAGGCCATGTTGCCTTCATTTGACTTAATATATGTTAAAATATTAATGAAGCGCTGATTGGCTAAAAAAATGAATCTGTAGTTTACTTGGGCTTAAATGACCTTGGCATTGAACTTACACAGTCATACGGCATGTGACAACTGTAAAAAAAGTTTTCATTTTATTTTATCCCAAATTGAACATATGATCAGTCAGACATTGTTAAAAAACAAAATAATAATTATTTTGGGCTTAATCTTATTTTATTTCTGTTCTGGCTATTTTGAGTTGATGGTAATTGAGAAATAAGTAATTCAAAATTATCTGCCTAAGAAGATTTTTCACCTACTTTTTAACAAAGCATAAGCAGACAAATATTGTTAATATTACATCTAGGTTTTTGTTGATGGCAAACTTTACTATTTTGTCCTTTTGAATAATTTGCCTTCATATGCACAGACAAGTATGTTTTTGTGGATACTAGGTTGAATCATATAATCATAAATCTATATGATGAACAGAAAAATGACCAGGTGTGTGCTAAAATTATTGGGAGGTAGAAATTGTCCTTATGTAAGGTTTTCTCTTGCTTATGTGTTATAATAAGTGCAAAATTCAAAGATGGAGTGTTAAAACAAGTAAGAAACGAGGAACAAAAAAAAATAACAGTAGTGTCCCCTCAACTTAGAAAATGGGAACTCGGGAGGTTAAGTAAGATAAGAGATCTCTTAGAGGTTGTCAGTTTGAAAAAATGTGAAATTAAAGTAAGTGGAAAATCTTGAAATTGGAACCAGTTAATTCCGGATTTGGAGTACTAGAATGGACCAGTTTCTTGAAGATATATGTTGAAATGCTTTTAGTCTTGTACTGTATAGAAAGTGGTAAAGAGAGAATATATTGAAGAAGTTAAAGATATATATTTAATTTGATTTTTTTTTTTTTTAAAAAAGGATACTATTTCAAAATTAACTGTACAATATTTATTTATGCAGGTATCAAAAAATACATTGTGGGTTTAATAATCAAAACGTCATCAGATCCAGAAACACTAGAAAGAGAGAAAGTGTACTTGGGAAAGTTGAACATGATACTTGTACAGGTGGGTTTGTGTGTGGAATAAAATAATAAGGAAAAAATGTAATATTGTTAAGTGTGATTACATTACTGAACTTATTTGCACTGACCCAATTTACCTCCACCACTATTATGGTTTGTTTGCTTAATGGAATTTTCCTACAATCACATGCTCATGTGGTGACAACTAGTGCTGTTTGTAAAGATTACTGGGCATGTTTACAGCAGTTTACTTATGCAGCAGTTATAAAGTTTAACTTGTAATGCCATGTGAATTGTGTGTTTTGATAAGATAATTTTTTGGTTTGTTGATTTTTTGTGTGGCTGTGGGGACATGTACTTTATCCTTAACCACCTATCCATTAGATCTCCATTGTGTTCATTACTCCTATACTACAAGATAGATTTAGTTAATGCTTACACTTTTACTTGTGTTTTTATGCAGTTGTACTTACTTGACACTGACTTTTACTTTTGAAAACATTGACCTACCTTCCACAATAAGCTGAATTTTTCCAAAACTAGAAGAGATCTACCCATTGTTGTTAATAAACTTCAATAGAAGATCCTTTATAAATCCAAAAGCAACCTTGAATTTTACCTTTGACCTACTTGCCACAAAAAACTAGTCTCTTGCCCTTGTATCTCCAAAACAATAAAAGATACACCTATAATTGCTGTTGAAAGCGAATTTTAAGTAATCGGGGATTCAAATCACGCCTTGAATTTGACTTTCCATCTACAGTGAAATTAACTTTTCTAATTTTCTAGCCCTTATACCTCCAAAACAGAGATAAACCTATAGTTACTATTGAATTTGAATAGGAAGTAGTATATTTGGAATTCATATGTGACATCCATCACCAAGAATTTTACTTTTTGATCTACTTTCCGTCATTAAATTCACTTTTCCAATTTTCTAGCCCTTATATCTCCAAAGCAAGAAGAATTAAAACCCATAGTTCTATTGAATTATAACAGGAATTCGGATATTGGGATTTCATATTTTAGCTGGAGGTACACAATAACAATTATTTCTTCTGGCAATATAAGACATGGGCATATCAGATTACATGCATGCAAAAATTGTACATGACAGTGATTTACAGACTTATAGGAAATCCTTTTTTCTTTGACATTCTTTGTCACCCTGTTGGTCAATGCAACAAGTTATTTGAAAACAAGTCAATGTCGTACCTTCAAGCTTTGTAGCAAGTCTTGAAATCATATGCCCCATATTTTACTGGTATTCCTTGCTCAACATGCCAGAAAAACAATTATTATGTTACCATGCCGTTGGAAAATCTGCGTCGACTTGGCACTCATGTCTATTAGCTCCCGTGTTATTCCAGCTAAAAATGGCCAGCCAGCTTCACTTCCTACACCAATTAATGTCACAACTTCCAGCACAACCTAACACAATCTGTCTTATCCAAAGTCCTTCATTTACTAGTCCTTATATCTCTAGTGATACAAATTGTTAATGATGGTCATTATGTGTGTTGATTGACACAACAATATACAGTGTTTTGCCGTGTTGTAATATCTCATTTAAATTATTTTGAAAGACCTTGAGATATTTCTTCAATTTTTCAGATTTTAAAGTATGAGTGGCCAAAAAATTGGCCTTCTTTCATCTATGATATTGTGGGTGCAAGTAAAACAAATGAATCCCTCTGCCAAAATAACATGGCAATCCTCAAAATTCTCAGGTAAGTATATCATGCAACTTTTCCACAGTGTGGAATAGTGACCTTCACAGATGTCAAATTTGATCAAAGCTCGGTCATTATTTGAAGCATTTGTTGTATAATTATTAAGGACACAAACAGCTACTTTTCAGTAACTTATTTAAAATGTGGCAATTAAAAAAATAAAAATAAAAAGTTCTGTTTGGCACTAATGTGATTTTTGATCATAGGTGAAATGAACATTGTGCAGAAAGGTCATTTAGCATATAATAAAATATGTGCAATATTTTGATACAACAACAGTATGTTTATAATTTTTTTATTTGATAAATATAATTTTTATTTCTCAGTGAGGAGATCTTTGATTTCTCAAGTGGACAGATGACACAGGCCAAGGCCAAACATTTGAAGGACAGCATGTGTACAGAATTTGCTCAGATTTTCACATTGTGTCAGTTTGTTCTGGTGAGTTTCACAATATTTTGCTGAATCATATATCAGTAGTTTAAAATTAAGAGATGGTGCTTGGAAGACTGGAATTGAACATTAGCTTGGTGGATGTATAATTATGGAAAATGTTAGTTTAATTTTTTAAAGCCCTTTTGTGAACGATAAGCTTATACATGCAGGATAACTCGCAGAATGCCCCTCTAGTGGGTTCCACGTTGGACACTTTGATGAGGTTCCTAACCTGGATTCCTCTTGGCTACATATTTGAGACAAAACTCATAACCACACTCATTTATAAGGTAGGTTTTACTGATTGTTAATGTCAATATATACATATGGCTGTGCATAGCATAAAAAGTGTACTTCAGCATCTTTGAAAACATTAATGAAATGCCAAAGGTAAAGTAAAAGTGAATAGGCTTTGATTTGGGAGTCAAATCATTTTTGTGTACAGATGTTCTTCAGGTAAAAGTTGCAGATAATTTTGAGAATTAAAAAAATCTTCTACCATTCATCTCTGTATGTATACTGTTTCCTTTGAATTGGCTATATATATATCCAGCTTTAGGAAGAATCACAAATTTCAGATATTTTAATTCAGTTCTTATAAGGCCTAAGGTTGCCCTTCAATCTTGGTCTATTGAACATATATGGCTCCATGGTTATGTGTTTACCTTTTATCTCTGGTCATTTCTAGGTCATCATTTTTGACGTAGTTTTAATCTTTTTTTTCCTAGTTCCTAAATGTCCCGATGTTCAGAAATGTCACCTTAAAATGTTTAACAGAAATTGGTAAGTCCAATAAATGCTTATGATTTAAAATGCATTATTCCTGGGCTTTACACCATTTACATCATTAAATAAAATATTTTGCAAAGACTCGTGTTGTTCTGTGATGAATTTTTAACCATTGTTTGCAGTAAGAATTTAACAGTAACTGAAGTAAAAACAATAGCACCTGTGTCATAGTAAACATATCAAAATAAGTGTACTGTTTTGATTACAGCTGGTGTTTCTGTCACACAGTATGATGAACAATTTTTACAGCTCTTTAATCTGACTATGACACAGCTTAAACAGGTATGAGTTTTTTTTTTCTTTATTTTTACAGAATTTCATCTCTTTGTTATTTTCTTCTAAAAAAGATTATAATTTGTAACCATTTATTGATGTTACTATTATATTATTATTATTATTATTATTTTGTGAAAGATTATTTAGTGACTCTTTTTATTATTGACTTGCAAATTAAGCTTTTATTTTGTAATTGCCTATTTTCAGATGTTGCCCACCAGCACAAACATCAAAGATGCCTATGCTCATGGTCAGGATGATGAACAAAAGTTTATTCAGAACTTGAGTTTATTCTTGTGCACCTTTTTAAAGGAGCATGGCACTTTGGTAGAAAAAAAGCAAGAACTTCATGATGTATTAATGGAGGTAAGCATATTTTTATTTATGTACATTATGTGCTACGATTGTAGTAATAAAGTAAGTACAAAACAGTACATTTGTTTACAAGAATTTTGACATGAATTTGGTATTTAATACTGTTTGTGCATTTTATTTTACAGGTTTCACGAATGTAGAAATTGTTATTAAAGATGAACATTTTGTTTTAGGCTTTGCACTATTTGATTCTCATCTCTGAGGTGGAAGAGACTGAAATTTTTAAGATCTGTTTGGAATACTGGAATACTTTAGCTGCTGATCTGTACAGAGAAAGTCCATTCAGTGCTAGTCAGACTCCTCTGCTTATTGGCAGAATGGCTGATGTACCACCGTCTAGGAGAGCTCTTTATACTCCTGTGCTTTCAAAGGTTTGTAACAAAATGTAAAAATTAATGTTTTGTGATATACATCTTTTTTATAGATAGAGAAGAAGAGTACTGGAGTAGTGTGGTTTTATCTTAAAACCACCCTGACTAAATCAACCGTCAAATGTTGGTTGATACAAGTCGTGATAATGCATCAATCTTCACTCCTTGCATTTTCATAAGATTAGCAGCCAGTAGATGCTTAAATTGAAAACTTTGAAATTTTGATTATGTTAATCCTACAGAACTCTTGTTTCATTTTGTAGGGCTTGTCAAGTGCAATACTAGGAGTTTGTTCTTATCCAAAGTTATTACTGTATCGCCACTCTGATCCCCTAGTTTCAAAATCTTTGATCCAGCTAACCTTTAAAGAACATCTCAAGTAATCAGTTCATATGTGTTTAACAGTAAATGTTACTTTCTGCATTGCTTATTTTTTTAAAGTGTACATTTTGGTTATGCCTAGGTGAGGCGGGTAATGATCTCAAGAATGGCCAAGCCAGAAGAGGTGCTAGTGGTAGAGAATGAACAGGGAGAAGTCGTGCGTGAATTCATGAAGGACACAGATTCTATCAATCTGTATAAAAACATGAGAGAGACTCTTGGTGAGTTGATTTTGTAATTAAGTATTTAACCAAATATAATGCATTTATGCATGCATACACGTGGAATAAAATAATAAAAGAAACTAGTTAAAGGTACATACAAACCGAGCATTGGTGGAGCGTGGATTCCCAGTAACACATGTAAACCACTTCTACTAGATTCTTATATGACTCAAATGAATTTGACATGTTAAGGGATAAACTGAATAGATCTCTCGATCAGCCATAAAAGACCTTTAGACTGCTCCTTTCTTTAAATTTATGGTTGTAAATTTAACCTACTTTCGTGACCTACTTTCCTGCCCCATTGACATACAGCTTAGAATGCCAGCAGAAAAATCTGTTCAAACATCATTTTCGGGTAAAATTAAACAATGCCTTTTGGTAATTCTCTTAGTTATACTACTTGAAACTATATGCTGGCATTTGGTTGGTTTTTGTAACAAAAAATTGACTTTGTATGCATCTTTAAGTCTGTCCTAGTATCAATAAGATTATTTTGTATGTCATAACTATTTCAATTGTTAGCATTAATTATGAAAAGGCACTGTATTTGTACGGTATTTATAGAAAATTTAGTGTTGGTCGACAGCCTTTTTGTACGACACTTAAAAACTTCAATTCTGTAACATATTTTTTCCCCTTTCAGTATATCTTACTCACTTAGATTATCAAGACACGGAAAACATTATGACTGAAAAATTGACAAATCAAGTGAATGGTACAGAATGGTCTTGGAAGAATCTGAATACAGTAAGTAGGATATATGTATATCATTTTATGGACAACTTGTCTGGACAATTAGCCATTAACTGCATTTGCCATCATACCATTAACATCAGACTTGACTTTAGCAGGCTTGTACACTTTCTTTGCTAACTTCTTTAATGGCAAAAAATGTGTTGGTTACATTTCACAATTGAAATGACTTATTTTACTTCCTAGCATCTTGTTTACATCCTGTGAAATGTATATCATTCCTTCGTGTCTTTCTGGCATACGTGAATCCTTTTCCTTAACTCATCAAATATAAGAAACGCCAGTAAAAATTTCAGCTGTAGATAAATGTTGTTATGTTGGCTGTATAGTTGCCTGCTTTGCTGTCTAGTTTAAAAGTATTTGATTTTGCTTCAGTTTAGGACGGCTGTAAATAAAGTGTACTAAGTAATACAAAAATTCAAGATCTGGGTGATGAGAACCTTGATGAGAAAAAAAATGGTTTTGAATGTATCGGGACGCTGTCATGTTTTAATAAAATGTTTTTTGTTTAATTATGTTATACAACGTCTGAATAACAGCAGTTATCATTGAGTAGTTATACACATTGGATGTTTTTTCTCTTGTATTTATTATGCTGCTTCTAGTATGTGTATGTGTAATTTTTTTTTTTTAGCTTTGCTGGGCTATTGGATCTATAAGTGGTGCTATGCACGAGGAAGATGAAAAGAGGTTTCTGGTCACAGTAATAAAAGTAAGTTTGAATGTTTTCTATGTAGATATGTGCTCATTGACAAGTTAAAAGATATACTATACAAAAGCAGAAATGTTCTTATAAAAGCAAAGGTTAAGTGTGGAAAAAGTAAGCAGTTTCAAACATTTTCAAAAATTTGACATTATTGGAAGTTTTAGCTTTTCCATTCATAAACATTCATCTTCAGTAAATTGACCTTAAGACAGTGTGTTTTATAAGTCTTTTCAAACTGACCAAAGTCCTGAAATAAATTACAGTCTATCAAGGTAGATGAACACGATGGTTAAAATGGAAAAGCCAAAGCTTAATTTAAACACAAAGATGGTGCAATGACATACTTTTTATATGTTTTCCATTTAGGGCCTTTATATATATATATATATATATATATATATATATATATATATATATATATATATATATATATATATATAGGAAAATTATATTATATCTGATAAGTTTTCCACCATAATATACCTCCCTTGAACACTCTTGTCAACCTGCATTATTGAATATAAACTCCTGTCTGTTATTCTTTCCTAAAGAAAATTAAGTAATGATATAACAACTATGAAGATTGTGGCAAGATAAATGTGAAGCACAAGTAGGACTCTTCAAGAAAATAGATAATGATAACAATAAATAATGGTTATGATGTCAATGCGGGGTTAAAAGCAGAGGAATGTGTCCAGTGTTGTCAGATTAAAAGCTTAGGTTGGCAGATGTATGAATCCCGCCCTAATGTCTTACACCCATTTGTTTTCCCACCCTTCAGGATTTGTTGGGTCTGTGTGAGCAAAAGAGAGGGAAGGATAATAAAGCCATCATAGCCTCTAACATAATGTATGTGGTGGGGCAGTATCCCAGGTTCCTACGAGCACATTGGAAGTTCCTGAAGACAGTTGTTAACAAGTTGTTTGAGTTCATGCATGGTGAGTATTACCTTGTCATTGATTCCGAGGTTTTATTCCATTAGGAGTTACTGGGTTTGGTTGAGCAAAAGCGGGGCAAGGATAATAAAGCCATCATAGCATCCAACATAATGTATGTGGTGGGGCAGTATCCTCGATTTCTTCGAGCTCATTGGAAGTTCCTCAAGACAGTTGTCAACAAGTTGTTTGAGTTCATGCATGGTAAGTGAAAGCTTGTTGACAGAAGTGCTTTAGAGGATGGGGTGAAATAAGGTGTGGTACTTTCAGAAATTTTTTTATTAGTGTTGTGTACCAGCATTTTCATTTCCTTTGAAATGATGCCTTTTTGCCAAATTTTGGATTTGCATATTGAAGACAGTGTTGTTATCAAGTAGGAACCTCTGTAGTGTATTTATTTGGTATTTATCTCTCCATTTATTGTAAAAGATGAACATGCTTCCATTTGCTGTAGAAACCCACGATGGAGTGCAGGACATGGCATGTGACACATTCATCAAGATTGCCCAAAAGTGCAGGCGGCATTTTGTACAGGTTCAAGTGGGAGAAGTGATGCCATTTATTGAGGAAATTCTCAACAGTATTAACACCATAATATGTGACTTGAATCCACAACAGGTACATCAATGTCGTATATGCCTGTTGGTTTTAAGTAATTGAGAGTGCTAATTAATTGGTATTCTTGGTTTCCTGTTTTTCTTGTCAGCTTCTGTAAAACTTCATGTGCTTAAAGTATTCTCTGAAATATCAGGTGCTATTATTTTAGATACGTGGATTCAGAAGTAAAATGTGCAGGGTTTTTGGCGGGTTTATAAAAACTGAAACAACCTGGTACTGTACTTTATGACATACTAAAAGAAAATGTTTAACATTATCCAGGTGCATACTTTCTATGAAGCTGTGGGTCTGATGATCAGTGCACAAACAGACCAGGGAGCTCAAGAGCATCTGGTGGAAAAATATATGATGCTACCAAACCAAGTGTGGGACACAATTATTAATCAGGCTACACAGAATGTAGAGGTGCTGAAAGATCCAGAGGCAGTGAAACAGCTGGCCAATATTTTAAAAACCAATGTTCGAGCATGCAAGGCACTTGGACATCCATATGTATTACAGGTTGGTGAACCTTTTTGTCAAATTTTTATGGCCAGACACTGGTGCACTATATTCTGAGAATGATTAGAGCTTAAAATGGTTGCTTATATGGAAGGAGTAGTCCCAAAGATTTGCATGCATTTATCTTCAATTGAAAACAAAAGTGTACAACAATATCATTTTTTTATTTACAGTGGTAGCAAATACTTAAAGGTTTGTGGAAGGAACTCATACATGCTTCCCTAGTGTTTTTTTTTTTTAAAATAACTAGTGATTATGCTAATAAGCATCATTTGTAATATTGCATCAATATTGAGAAAATAGATTTTGTGCGATTTCATATTTCATCATGTTTTAGTGTCACTGTATCTTATAGTTTGGACATTTTATGTCTGTTCATTTGACAGCTTTTACTGAAAAAGTTTAAGGTATTTGTAAAATTATTCAGTATTTTTTGTGATACTTGAGAAATTTCACTTGATGAAATTTCTGTTGAATTATTTTATATTTCAGATATTTTTGTCTCATGATATTTTAAAACTTCTCAGATTATAGTGATGTATAAGGAAAAATTTTATATAATTACTGTAAAAGCATAACTGGTTTTGTCTTAAATTTAGCTTGGGCGTATTTACCTGGATATGCTGAATGTGTATAAAGTGATGAGTGAAAACATCAGCATTGCCATTGCAACAAACGGAGAGAATGTAACCAAACAGCCTCTTATCAGGAGTATGAGAACTGTGAAAAAAGAAACACTTAAACTTATCTCAGGATGGGTCAGCAGGTCTAATGACTCCCAGATGGTATGATTGCCCATTCATTGCCTTTGGTCTTTATGATAAATTAAATGGAATATAGCTTGATGTGTACATTGTGCTTAAAGTATTAAGTATGATAATAGTTACTTTGACAAGTGAAGTTAGAAAAAAGGAAAAGTAACAAATAGATTTCTTGTGATTAAGTGCAATATCAGTATCAGCACTCCTGATATGTTAGACATTTTAGAGAGTGTTTATTCTTTATTTGTAATTGTATTGTCCTTTGGTTTAATTTGCAGTTGGTAATGTTATTTAAAAGTGATCTGTATTTCAGGTTGCAGAAAACTTTATCCCGCCTCTTCTTGAAGCAGTTTTGATGGACTATCAACGAAACGTACCACTTGCAAGGGAACCAGAAGTGCTAAGCACAATGGCAACAATAGTCAATAAATTAGAGGTAAGGCCAGATGATTGATACATGAAAAAATAATTCTACCTACCCTGAGGTTTCGAGTAAAACCAACACAAGCAGCTGTTATATATAATGCCTACAGGTAACCAGGTAAAATCCAAGCAAAAGAAGAAGAAAAAATACATTGGATAGCAATTTTATATACAGGCACTGTATGTGTTATTAATATTTAGATCCCTCTGTCTGTCTATGTGATCATTGTTCCCATTGCCATCCAAAACACCAGTCCTTACTGGGGTGGCGCAAGCAATTTTTTTCCTTTAGCCAAATTACTACATTTTCACTGCTTTTTTGTCCAAATGGTTTAAATTTAACTAAAATGAGTCAAATCAACCCTAATATTTTTAGCCAATTTCAGTCAGTTTTAGCATTTGGCTAAATTGGCGAGTGTTAGCGCTACCCCAGCCTTAAAACTGCAATATCATATTTTTGTTTATTTTAATATACATAAGTAAGGCAGGTTCATCTTGATAATTGGCATGATTGGACGTGTGTATATCTCTCACACTGTTATATTATAGAAATAAAGTAATGATCGTAACTGATATTGATCTGCCATCTTGGAACTTCCTAAATAGAATTTATGTTAAACTCGTTTACCCTTTTTTTACAGGGCAGTATAACTAAGGATGTTCCACAGATATTTGATGCTGTGTTTGAATGCACATTGGAGATGATCAACAAAGATTTTGAGGAGTTTCCAGAACATCGAACAAACTTTTTTCTCTTACTACAAGCAGTAAATTCTCATTGTTTCCCTGGTAGGTATCTGGATTTTAAGAATGCAGCATTTGTATTATTATGCAAATTGTACTATTATAAATTGTTGTATCCAAACAAGTTGATGTGTTGGGATGTTTGGCTCATGACCTAGTTAAAATCCACTATATACTAACTATTCAGAACTGAGCCCCTGAATATGTATGCTCTGACAGTGCCCCTTGCTGCAGTGCACAAGATGGATAAATGAATGAAGGCTAGCACCCTAAAGTTTTTCAGCTAGAAAGTGGCTGTTCAGGCTGGTGTCTAGTCTTAATATGCCGAAGGTGCAAGTGAACCAAGACTATGGAGCTTAGCCTTGTGTCACTTTATGATCATTAAGTGACCTGCTGCAGCTGCATGGTAAACAAAAAAGGGGGGTTCGTGGGTTTCAGTTGGTAGTAATACTTAAAATTTGTAAATATAGTGTTGCTGTGAACCAAGTGATATTGTAGAGAAGGTAACAAAGATGGTTATTTAAGGGAACTGTTATCAGCTGCAAGCTGACGAATTAACACTTTTGTTATTATTAACTATTTTTATAATTTTTTTACATGGCCCATCTACTTATTTCGAAATACCACTATTTGAAAAAATGCACATGCCAATCTTGTAAAAGGAATCCTTACATGCAGTTATACCAACATAGACACTGCTAAATAAAAAAAAACTAGTCTTTCATGTTTTCTGTCTATTGCAGCTTTCCTCGCCATACCACCTGCACAGTTCAAACTAGTGCTGGACTCCATCATCTGGGCTTTCAAGCACACCATGAGAAATGTGGCCGACATGGGACTGAGCATCATGTACACATTGCTACAGAATGTTGGGCAGGAGGAAAATGCAGCACAGAGTTTCTACCAGACCTATTTTACAGACATACTGCAGCATATCTTTTCTGTTGTAACTGACAGTTCACAGTCAGGAGGTATGGATATTTATCAGTTTGATGGTCAATAAATTGTACCACCAGTCATTTTTCTGGAAACACCTTGGCTATGACCTGAAACACTTAATATGACATTGTCCTTTTTTCAAAAATTTTAAATATAGCTTTGGCAACAATTTAGAGCATTTTTAAAAAGCTTTTTATGTGTATTATTATCCCCAAAGTGTGTCTTATCCAGCTGGTGGCAGATATCCAGGAGACATTATCTCCTCTATGATCCTCTTAGATATGTATTTTCAGCTCAAATTAGATTTTGTTCTTTTTATGTATTTTTACATATGTTTTTATTACAGGTCTCACAATGCATGCCAGTATATTGGCATACATGTTCACATTGGTGGAGATGGGCAAGATCACCGTTTCACTTAGTCCAAACCACCAAGCATCTCAAAATGTACAGTTTGTACAAGAATTTCTTGTTAATTTGCTAAAAGCTGCCTTCCCACATCTGAATGAGTGAGTACCAATACTTGAATTATATGCTTTTTTCATACAGGGATATATCTTTCTATAACAACTCTTCAAAGTTGATGTTCATACTTTTTTTATTTGCAAAGATCTATAATTTAACCCCAGACTTAAATTCTGTGATACATTTCTAAAATTGAAATATGTTTTGATGTTTGTTGCAGTTAGTGTTACTCATGTGGTATTTTTTAAAGAAATGAATTTGAAAGAATTATAATGATGTATTTCAGTACGCAGTTGCGAGTTTTCATTGAAGGGCTGTTCAGCTTTGACCAGGACATTCAGGCTTTCAAAGAACACCTTCGTGATTTCTTAGTGCAGATCAGGGTAGGTGGCACCCTCAGCATAATCAAATTATGATGATAATATGATAAATTAAGTTGAAAATATTGATTTAGTAAAACACAAAGACATGGCATAGTTAAGGTGAAATCAATCAATATATCTTATCTAATTTGATTCATTATTATTGGCAGGAGTTTGCTGGGGAAGACAATTCAGACCTCTTTCTTGAGGAGCGGGAGTCGGCTATTCGAGAAGCTCAGGATGAGAAGCGAAAGCAACAGATGGCAGTTCCAGGAATACTGGGTCCTCATGAGGTAACAGAAGACATGCAGGACTAGTCTGTGAATGAACCTCAGCCATTTCTTCATGCCATTCAATGAGAACATTTCATCATTATAGGGCATTCATTTGTAAAGATATTTTCAGACATTTTTTTTGGTTTGGTCCATGTTCTGTGTTGTTTATTAATATTAATCCTAAAAAGCATTCAGAAGCTACATGTATATGAATCAGCGTTAGAATGTTATTTACTTTGAAGAATTTTTCATGTAGATGCAAATATTATTTATAAATAAAAATGTAATTAGCTGCTCCATCCTTTTCAGAAGTCCATATCATTTGTAAATACTGCACAGTATTGTAGTGTTTATACTGGTAGATCACTCATTATTTTTCAAAAAAAAAAAAGTGATCTGTTCAATCAGTTCTGTGTGAGAGTTATGCTTGATAGAAGTTGGACGTCTCACATGCTGATGGTATTGCACAAGGCAGCTTTATGTTATCTATTATCTTCATGCAAATTATATTAAGTGTGTTAAGTAAGATGAGGATTTTTGATGAAGATTTCATGATTATAATGAAATGGTATTCACCATTGGAATTTATTTTGGGGTTTAAAAGTGAGCAAAAAATCAACACTTGAAAAGAAATTTGAACAGCTTAGGATAAGAGAATTGCATATGGGTCTTTTGAGCATTTTAACTATTTGGAGAACTTGAATTAAGAATTAGTTATGTAGTGTCAATTGAAAATGGATAAATTAATGGCTTGCTTTTTACTCGCAGTCTTGGCAATGTGTGGTATAATTTTAAGCAGAATAAACATTTATTTTATATGCCATTGTATGTTATGTGGAGCTACTTAAAACTAGTAAAATATTCGGGTTAGATTTTTGATTATATGACTTTTTCTCTATTCAATCATTTATTGATGAATTAAGTTATTTTGCTAGAATGTCAAATTGTAAATATGCCATAAATGAGTGCTTGATGAAATTTCAGAAGTTTTAATGGTGAGGCTGTCCAACTTTGTGTGAATGACAATTATGAATGTTGTTAGCAGTATCTGCTATGACATGGTACACATTTTTTTTCACCATCACCCGGTAAATGGGTCATTATTTCATGACATTGTTTACAGCTGTACTGGAACACTCATCATGTACTTTTCGATTTGTTTCTTCATAACATTGGCGACATTTTCAAGCACCCATCAAGTCATAATCATTATGTTAGATAATAAAGAGAGTGATGAAATTTGTGTCAAAAGTTTGGTTGTTGGTGAAAAAAATGGTTCTCCGGATTGCACTGATCAGAGTCCTGCTCTGAACAGTATGACCACTGCATCATTGCCTTTGGTAAAATACTTTTTTTAGATGGAAACAAATGTTATCTATACTAAACTTTCCAAACTTCACTAACCTATCTCCTACACAAGAATTGCTTTTGTTCTGTAAACTGAAGCAGTCTATGCCAGTTTAATGAGAGGTACTGTCAGCTCTAAAACCTAAGAGGATTACTTACAGACACACAATGTAGGATTTGAAACCCATCCTAAGTGCATGGATATGTACAGAGAAAATATTCAGGGAAATTGAAGATGTGAATATAGGAAGAATTGACAAATACGCTGAGATATGCAGATGATACAGATGTGTTAACAGAAACCAATTCAGACTTGCGAAAGTAACATGAGTCAATGAAAAAGGAAAACCATACAGAATGGTAATTACAAAAACGAAAGGAACGGTAGGGAACAGAAAATCCTGTGCCAGCATAGAAAAGAGACCCAATTCAAAAGGTCAGCAGCATGGTGTACCTTGGCTACATGAGAAATTAAAAGAAAAATAGAAATGCAAGATCAGCATTTGTAAGCTTAACAAAATTATAAGATCAAGAAACATTAGCATCAATCTAAGGCTGTTTATAATTAAATGTTACATTTGGTCAACACTTTTATACAGCTTGGAGACATGGACACTAACAAAAACAACTGAAAAAAATGAAAACATTTGTAATGTGGGTATATGTATTTTGGCCCAAAATTGGACTTTTTAAGGTAAACAATTTTCTCAAACTTACCAATGGTTATTGACTAAAATTTTTTTTTGTTATTATCTCTTTAGAGGTCATGTGATCCCCTGGCAACCACAGATTCCAGAATTATTGCAATAAACACTGTTTTGGTGGTAAAATAGAATTATTTATTTTCAGTGAAACGTGGATCTCGTGGGAAGGGTTGTTATCCCTTTAAAACACCTTGGGTTCATCTACATTAGCATTTTATCAATCTGTGATATGAGCAAATCCCAGAATAATGGAACTGGAAAATCTAGCGTTCTTCAAGCATTTTACAGAAAACTTTCGTATTATCCAAAATATGATGCCTTGTGATGTCATCCTTGCAGCCCTTTGTCTTTTAAATAATTTCGTAATCTTCCTAAAAACCGACTTGCAGTCGTGACATAGATCCAAGATTTTTAGTAATGGAAAATACAAAATAAAACTAAAGCATAATCATATTATATAAGTATTATATCATTATATTATATTAATGTCTTGCAAAGCTGAATATAATCTTTCATTCACTTGATTTTTAAATTTTCAGTAAATGTGCACTAGTCACCAGAATGGTAAGTTTTTTTGACAACAACAATTAACTGAAATGTTGTTGGTTGATCTCATAATTTCACCAAAATATTATCATTACAAATTTAACTCATATCTTGCTTCTGCAAGACTGGAAAAACCTTTTAGCAGCACTGGAATACCCCATCCATTTGCATTTTCTTGATATTTCGGAGGCAATCGTATTTAAAGATTTACAATCTCCACCTGAAATGAATATCAGCAATGCTGATCAAATGGAAAATATGCTAGACAGTATATGATGTATACATGATTTTAAAAAAAAATCAGTAAACACTTAAAATCTATTTGTAGTTGATAAAGAGTAAACTATTGGTGATAGCAAATGGTATTTAGCTTTTCAATTCCTACTGGAAAATAATAACTGGATAAATATAAAGACAAGAAAAGGAAACTTGCAATGACTTGACACTTATCACATCATTAACAACAAAAGTAATGGCTATGCAGTTTGCAACTCTGTATAATAAAAGTTATGCATGCCAGATGATGGTGCAGTACCATTTTTTGTTATCTTGGTCAGTTTGTTAAATAATTTTTAAAAATGGCCTCAACTGGACAAATATAAATCAACTTTATATCGCGTTTGTCAATTTTTTTTTTGAAAATTGATTCCAATACTACAGGAGATGGAGGAGATAACAACGTATTTCATCTAATGAGTCACACTCCTGCTTCAACATACCTGATATCCTTTGTCTGCAGGTTCAAAGCCAAAGACTTTGGCAAAGAAGTAGAACTCCCCATCTAAGCATTTCTCTATATTTTCAGACTTTCTGAAACCATGTTGTTCTCCTACATATAGATTAGAAATCAATTATTTACACATCTCACAAAGAAATTATATTTAATGTTGAAATATCTCACTCTTTAAGTAACTAAACTGAAGCAATTTAAAAAAAAAAATCTTTGATACTTTCATGTAAACTTAATTGCTTTGGATATATAGAAAAACCTGTGTAAATTCATAAAAATAATCAATGAGATAGTTAACCCTCCAGGTAAAATAATACTGTAATATGTTCTCAATGTGATAACAAGAGAAATAAAATTGAACTGAATTGAATTGGAGATGGCATATCCCAAAGTGTTAGATACTCAATGCTAAAAATTGCAGTTATGGCCGCAAGATTTTTGAATAAGCTTTCACAACTTTAAGACATTTTAATGTTCAAATATCAGTTTTAATAATATGAAATGTGTCTTTTTAAAATATTCTACAAAAGTTTACATTTATGAAATACATCATTAAAACAAAGATACAGATACCATGTTGCCAAGTATACTTTGAAATATTTTTGAAACTTAAAAAATGCATCACAAAAATTCTTTATTTGTTCACCTTCAAACAATACATGTGCTGCAGGGATGCCTTTGGCTTTGATTTCATCAAACATAAGTTTTGCTTGGTTTGGTGGAACAATCTAAAAGATAAGGGAGTAAATAAAAGAAATTGGGGATTCAGAGGAAATCTGTCATCTACTCTATATGAATTTGATTAATATCATATTATGAAAGACCAAAACTTCAAAGATGTAAATGTCCAAATTTCCAGTTAGTCTATAAGATACACATAACAATTTGAAACAAGCTTGATTAAGCATGCATTCAAGAAAATATCCACAGAAACAAAAGATGTGTGTGTGTGTGTTTTTAGCAGTACCTCATCTTCATCTCCTTGAAAGAATATAATTGGACAGTTAAATTTTTCAATATGTTTGATGGGAGATCTAGAATCATATATTGGGTAGTTTTCCGGGGTATATGGAGCAATGCAGGTGTCCAAATAACGGCTCTCAAATTTGTGAGTTTCTCCAGCAAGCAGTGCAACATCAGCCACACCATAAAAGCTGCAGCCTGGAAAATTGAATGATCAAAAACCCATAAAGATGTAGCTCCATCAAAGGGAGGCGTTACTTTTTGGAAACTAAAAAATGCATACAATAATTTCAAGTCATTTGCAGTCAGTTTCTGTGCATTTAGATAAATTCTGGCATTAACGAGAGAGATTGCAGTTAGCAATCAGGTAATGGCACCACAATCAACTTCAAAACATCTGATGTTTACTGTAACTTGATTGTATGTACCAAGTTGACTGTAAGCTAATGGTGTGGAAAACTTCCAGATTGTACTAAATAATTATTATTATTATGTGATCCAACTACCAAGCTTATAAATATTTTTGCTCATTTATTAATCTGGTTATTTTAGTCTAAACAAGTCCCACATGTGAACATGTGGTCTCATAGAAAAATTACCTGCTTTGAAAACATCTCTGAAAGCCAGGCATGCCAGTGTGGTGTATCCCCCAGCTGAACCTCCATCAATACACAGCTTATTCCTGTCAACTTTTCCCTGATCAGCCAAGTACTCAGCACCATGACAACAGTCATCAACATCATAAACACCCCAACTGAATAGGAAAAAGCAATTTTGTATTTTAGATCGTGTATTGTGTAATAAAGTGTCAAAAAAGTGGCAACAGCAATGACACCAACACATACGTTGCTCAGACTAGATACAAGCACAGTCTACACATAAAAAGTTTACAAACTTTAGAGGTCTACCTACACTTTATTCAATGTCTTGAACAGAGCACTTTGAATACATTAATTTAATTGCCTTCTCACTTTCCATTAAGCAGCCCTCTATAGGTTCTCCCATAGCCAGTGCTCCCTCTGTAGTCTACGTCCAATACAGCAAATCCCCTGCTGGTCCAGTACTGCTGCTTCATATTCAGGGCACTGGAGGCACAGGAAGTAGGGCCTCCATGTGCACGAACTAAAAGTGGTGGTAAGCTATTTGGAGGTGCTTGAAAGTCCTTGTTCTAAAGTAAAACACGGAAGTTGATGTGTTAAAAGTATAGACATGAATCAGAAAATTACAATGTGAGTGAACAATTTAGTTTTTTTTTGTCAATTTTGATGAAATATTACATAATGCTTTACAGCATAATCACAACATGATAACATGGACATTCATAAAATGTAATTAGCATTGGGCTTCAGGCTTATGGGATTTCAAAGTCACAACTTGAAAACATATGTCAGTTTACAGGAGATTACAAAATCTTGAAATTGGCAACATTGACATGATGTAAAATGTTTTTTATAGGTAGCTTTATACCAAATTATTCATTCCTTTTCCATATGCAAGTTATTTTATGGAGTGAAATAGACATGAAGTGGCAAAATTAGTGTCAATATCATTCACTTCATGTTTCTACCACAAATGTTTTTTTTTTTTTTTAACTTCATGGTAGTTCATAGCTCCTTCATACCAATTTTAAAAAAAGCAGTCAAATTGTCCAGGAGGAAAAATAATATTTGCCATTTTATAAATGACCATTACCTTAGGAAGATAAAAGTATCCATATACTGACTGTCCTCCGGCAGTTGGCCAAGTAATTTTTTCTGGTATGCTGATGTATCCACGGTCCACAGGGAGCTTTGCAGACTCCTTACATATGTCTACCTACAGAAGACAAAAAAGTGACTGTTTCTCTGATTACTTGGAACAAATAACACTGCTAAGTAACACAGTTCCAAAATGGTTCATGCTTATATATATATATAACAATTCTGATTTTAAAGACCCATCTGATGTAAATTT